TTCCCTTTCTTTTGGGAGATAAAATAAACTTAAAACAAACAAACAAACAAACAAACAAACAAACAAACCAAAAATACATTAAAGTGTTAATACAGTTACAAAAATGTGCTCACTCACTTTTAAGTTCTGAATGTTAACTCATTGGATTCCACAAACGTGACATCTGCTCATTGGATTCCATGAATGTGACATCTCCTTAGTAGTCCACCTCGGGCTAAAGCCTCTCTCCTGCCCCTGTCTGTCCAAAGAGTATTCCGAGATCATAAAGCAAGCTGCTAAAAACCTTTTCTGTGTGAGTCAGGATTTTCTTGATACTGTGTAGCCAACGCTGGAGATAGAGTTAAACTGGATATAGAGCTGTGATCCCTAATCCGAGTTCTAAATGTTAACACACAACATAGTGTCATCATCTCGCTGAAGGAATGTGGGATAGGTGACCGTCGTGCATTTGAACCTACAATATAAATCCACGCTTGTAACATATGTGTTTACTTGTTTGGATTTGCGTTTTTCATAAGAATTTTCTCTTGGGAGGAGGGTAGGCATATGGTCAACTTAGAAAAAGTTGAAAATTCACTGATCCCAGAGTCTTCCAAGCCTTGGTGATATGTGAATCTGAGTTTGGCCCATCTTTGAACCCTCTCACAGGAAAAGCCAGTCTGAGGGATGAGGCCCAGGTGTTTGCCTGGACTGTGGGCCACTGATGGCTTCAGTTCCTCCCTGGTGCCTAGTGGGGAGCCCCAAGCAGAGGCCAGTAGGAGGAGCCTGGCAGGACAGGCAAGGTCCCGGATTTCCTCTGGGCCACCTGGAGGAGCTCCTAGCCTCAGAGCTCCCACTTGCTCCTCAGAGGACAGCCTGGGATGTGTGGCTCAGTGCTTTCCAAGCCAGAGGTGCCTGGGCATCCAGGTCCATGCCTGTGGCCACATCCGTGTACTGCCACCTGCACTGTCATTTCCTTGCCATAGCTGAACAGCTTTATTGAGATATGATTTACGTATTGCAAAAGTCATGGATTTTAAGTGTCCCAGTCAAAGATTTTTAGTAAATTCACCAAATTGTGTATACATCACAGTCCAGTTTCTGGACTTGCGTTATTCTTGCAGGCAAGTCCCTTTCCCGTTCCAGACGGGCAGTCGCCGCTGTCTGTCCGTATAGGTTTTTCTTTTCTGGGTGTTTCATATAAACGGAGTCATACACAGTGTGGTCTTTGGTGTCTGGCTTCTCTTATTTAGATACTGTTTGGGAGTTCATCCATGTTGTAGTTTGTAGAGTAGTGCATTCCTTTTTATGGATGAATAATAATCCCAGGGCATGGATAGACTATGTTGTGTTTATCCTTTCACTTATATAGTCGCTGTATTTTAAATTTAGAAGGCTACTCGTGTACCACCTGGCTCAGCTCCTGTGCCATCAGGGTGCACAAACCATGTTTTGGAACCCCCTGCCCACATCAGAGCTCTCGGCCTGGGGCACCCAACTGTAACTCTGTATACCAGTGCTTTGCTTTCCCCGGGCCCAGCCAGTTCTCTACCACGTGGGAAGTGTGGTCGCTGAAACTGTACTGAGTACAAGGTTGTCAAGTGTTGATCTGGAAACCAAACAAACATCTCTTCTCTGTCACCACCCAGTGCCACTCAAATATCCCGTTCTGACTTTGCAAGCTGGGGGCTTTTCTCTGGGAGTTCTCACAGAGCAAGCCGGGGGGTTTTCCCTGGGAGATTCCTGCAGCTTCTATCCCAACTTTAATCAGGCAGTTCTCTGAATTGGCATTCAAGAGACTTGGACTC